CGGGGCAGGGACTCTGCCGCCGTCCAGGGTCAGCTCTCCGCCTGCCCGGGGAGCTCCCACGGAGCTGTGGGGAGAAGCTGTGGGTGGAAGGAGCGACCTCTGGCAGGGCAGGGTCCTGCTGTGGAGAGGGTGCTGCAGGGGTCAGGGCTGCTCACAGCTGCTGGTCACCCCCAGCACGTTGGCAGAGGCAGCATTTCATGAGAAAAGCCACGGCAGGGGCTACCTTAAAGATGAAGACCTGTCCAGGCTCTGCGCTCTCAGCTTTCTCATAAGAGAAAAGGGAAAGGAGGTTTGAGGTTGGAATAAGTCACTGAACTCTTACACTGAGGGATCAAAAGGGGTCTACCACAAACATCATCAAGTGCCTTCACCCCCTCCTCTACCCACAGACAGCACCAGCATCGCCTTTGCCTGCAGCATCAGGCTGGATCTTGGAAGATCCAGTGGGATCTTGGGTGGACTCCTTGGGACCCGCTCAGAGGGAGCTGGCCCTGGGCAGTGCCCTGCTGCTGGGAGGGCTCTGCAGGGCAGAGCTGAGCACACAGCGGGTGGGATGGGCTCTGGGAGCACTGGCAGGGGGAGACCTGGGCACAGAGCCACAGCTCCTGGCAGGGACAGCTCCAGGCAGCAGAGAGCCCCTCCACCCTTCTGCATCCCGCTCTGCTCAGCTGCACAGGGAGAGAGAAATCAGTGCGGGGAAATGGGCTTTGAAACTGGACTCTCCCACACTCACTAAAGTCCATCTTTTTTTCCTCAAGTTTGTTGTTAGGGAGATCATTCTCCCACAGAGAGAGGTGTCAGCACAGGACACCTGCGTGGTGACCAACAGGTCACTGGTGGGCAGACCAGCTCTCCTGATTCTGCAGTAGGGCACAGAGAGCCCTTTTGTCCCTCTGGGCTCACCAATGTTCAGGCTAAAAGCAGTGGGAAAGAGGAGGGTTTCTGCCCCTTCAAAGGCATTGCCCTCAGCAGCACAAACCAGATCGCACGAAAACGAGCTGAATGAGACAAAGCCAAAGAAAGATAAATCATTTGGGGGTGATTTGGGGGGAAAAAGCAGATGGTCTCCAAGAAGTCTACCTTAACTTGTCCATGTCTTCTCCTCTTTCAACAGTGCCCCATGACCAGAGTGAACAGATGTCTAACGGCAGCTCCATCACCCAGTTCCTCCTCCTGGCATTCGCAGACACACGGGAGCTGCAGCTCCTGCACTTCTGGCTCTTCCTGGGCATCTACCTGGCTGCCCTCCTGGGCAACGGCCTCATCATCACCACGGTTGCCTGCGACCACCACCTCCACACCCCCATGTACTTCTTCCTGCTCAACCTCTCCCTCCTCGACCTGGGCTGCATCTCCACCACTGTCCCCAAAGCCATGGCCAACTCCCTCTGGGACACCAGGGACATCTCCTACACAGGATGTGCTGCCCAGGTCTTTCTATTTGTCCTCTTCATCGTAGCAGAGTTTTCTCTTCTCACCGTCATGTCCTACGACCGCTACGTTGCCATCTGCCAACCCCTGCACTACGGGACCCTCCTGGGCAGCAGAGCTTGTGTCCACATGGCAGCAGCTGCCTGGGGCAGTGGGTGTCTCACTGCTGTGCTGCACACGGCCAATACATTTTCAACACCCCTCTGCCGGGGCAATGCTGTGGGTCAATTCTTCTGCGAAATCCCACAGATCTTCAAGCTCTCCTGCTCACACTCCTACCTCAGGGAAGCTGGGCTTCTTGTTTTTTGCATCAGTTTAGCCTTTGGGTGTTTTGTTTTCATTGTGGTGTCCTATGTGCATATCTTGAGGGCTGTGCTGAGGATCCCCTCGGAGCAGGGACGGCACAAAGCCTTTTCCACGTGCCTCCCTCACCTGGCCGTGGTCTCTCTATTTATCAGCACTGCAGTGTTTTCCTACCTGAAGCCCCCCTCCATCTCCTCCCCATCCCTGGACCTGGTGGTGGCAGTGCTGTACTCGGCGGTGCCTCCATCAGTGAACCCCCTCATCTACAGCATGAGGAACCAGGAGCTCAAAGGGTCCATTAGAAAGTCATATCATGGGTGTTCCTCAATAGTGAAACACTTCCCATCACTCTCCACAAATGAAACCCATTCTCATTCCAGGCCTGCACTTTGTTGTTTTGTTTGGGTTTGTTTTGTTTTTTCATGGTCATGATCATGATTGGCATTATCATTGTCAGAGCTGACTCTCTCATATCTTCTTTGTGATAAAGTGGGGTCTCCCCAAAGTACCGCTTGAAGGCTGGACTCTACTTCCAAAGTTGGTGAATGGTACCTGAGGTACCTACCCAGGGCTGTCCCACATGTGAACTTGTGGATGGTGTCCTAAAGAGGGGCGTCTGGATGTGCCTGGAGTAACGGTAACACTGTTGTCAAGGTGCAAAGCCTTGCTGTCCCAGTGCTCCACCAGGCCTGGAAGATGACTGAAGAAGGGCTGGTTCTTCACAACCTCTCAGTGCTCTTGTTTGTCCCGAAGGGTGGCACGGAGAGGGAGGCTGGGACCCTGTGTCAGGGCCCTTGCACTGCGGGAAGCATGACCCAGCAGCCACGTCAGGTCACTGCTGTCCCCGTGCCCAGCGCTCATCCTTCAGACAGTCTGCCCCACCCCATGTGGTGGCCCATACCCCCAAAGTCACCCCCCGTCTCACACCGTTGTACTTTTCCTTTCCAGACCTGGCCATTTGCCATGGTCTGGGTTTGGGCTGACCTTTGAAACTCATCTGCACTGGGGGACCGCCCAGCCCTTCCCAGGCTCACGCATGCTCAGAGTCCAGCAGAGCCCAGAGCAGAGCTGTCTGTGAAGCCCTACGTGGGACACAGCGGAGCCAGGGCAGGGGCCGGGTGGTGGGGAGGGCTGCCAAAGCAGAAGGGTGGCAGAGGGACGGGGCTCTGAGCTCTGTTGTACAGACCATGCCAGGGAAATGTCTCCCCAGCCTGAGTGCACCTTGCCCTGGCGGTGCCGGCATGGAGGGGCTGTGGGACTGCACGTGGGGCAGCGGGCCTGGGCTGGTGCAAGGAAGGGAAGGTGAACATAGGGGAGGGACACCATGGGAGGGAGGTCTGGGGTGGACAATTCCAGCCCCAGCTCTGCCAGCAGCCCCACTGCAGCCAGGGCAGCTCCCCACAGCTGCTACAGGAGTCTCTGCTGCTAAAGGGCTCGGGGGTGTCTTGGGGGGCTGCAGCCACCCGCACCACCCACCACGAGCCCCAGGGCACACGGCGAGCATCGGTTCCCTGCACTGCAGCTCATGGTGCCTCCTGTCCCGTGCCACCATCCTCTCTCAGGAGCACCACCAGGTGCATTATTCCCTGCCCGGGAGCGAAGGGAAGCTGCTGGAGGTCTTCTCTGCTGCACCACATGTCCAAGGCTCTGCCCCAGCATCAAATCAGAACCACAGTCCTTCTGCAGCACGTGTCTCTGCTTGGAGCTGGCCACCGCAACCTGCCCGCGTGGTCCCAGGGGATCCCCGCAAGGCTGAGCTTGGAGAGGAGGTTCTGACTTTCCTTGGTCAGAGTAGGTGTGGTGGCATCACAAAGGGAAGGGAAGGACGAGAGAAAACAAGGACAAGAAGCAGGAGGGGAAATTTAGAGGAGGCTAAGAAATCAAGGAAAAATATGTCTGTCATCTCTGTATGTATCCATCCAGTTAAATCTCTAGGAACCTATCTCAGCTCAGGATAGTGGTGGCCGCCTTTGCTGCAAGGGCACATTGCTGGCTCATGTTCAGCTTGTTGTCCACCGGAAAACCAAGGCCCTTCTCCAAAAACCTGATTTCTAACTGGCTGGCCTACATGTACTGCTGAATGGTGTTATTGCTGCCTGGGTATTTCCCCTTGTTGAACTTGATAAGGTTCCCCTCTGCCCATTTCTCCAGCCTGCGGAAGTCCCTCAGAATGGCAGCACACCAGCCTCGTGTATCAGCAGCTCCTCTCAGTTTCATATCATCTGCCAACCTGCTGAGAGTGAACTCTGCCCCGCCATCCGGGTCACTAACCGAGTTGTTAAACTGTGTTGGTCACAGTGTTGACTCCCCATGTACAAACGTATTGAATGACCTCCAGCTGGATTCCGCATCTCTGGTCACAACCTTCTGACCCGAGGTGTGCAGCAAGCTTCCAATTGACCGCCCTTTCACAGAACCGTAGAAACATAGAATCTATGATAGAGAATCACAGAATGGTCAGGGTTGGAGGGGACCTCTGGAGATCACCTAGTCCTATATTACTTTCTGTGTTATCTCTCCAATTGTAGAGGTCGCCAGTGACATTTTTCCCATGTTCAGCCCCACATTGCCTGACAGAATTCAGGGCAGCTACTCATTTCCTGGTTCAAACCTAGACCCACAGAGCTGCATGAGATGCCAAGGCTTGCGTGGACCCCACAGGACCTACACAAGAAAGCAGTTCCCATTCAGGGTGGATGCATCCCAGATGCCCCAGACAGCATCGCAGAGAGAGCTATTTGATGTCTGTTCCATTGCCTGATGCTGTCAGTCAGAGGCATCAGTCACCAGGTCTGTTCAGAGGCAAGGTCTGTCCCTTCTCTTTCCAATAGCGGCACACATTGCATGGACATGAAGCACATCACACAGGCATCTTCACTCATTCTCTTGGTGATACAGTCAGTGAAAAGACCAATAACTTGAATAGTGTGCCTGGATACATCTTGTCCTAAAGGAGAGCATCTTCCGGGCCCAGCAATGGTCCATATCAAAACTCAATCGCAACTGAAAGGGAATTCCAGGGCACCAAGATGAGCCTTTGCTACTTCAAGAACAGTTAAAGAAGAGAAAGGGACAATGTTGGATCACTGCTAAATTTAGTAGGAATAGGTGTAGGCAGATCTGAGATACTCGATGTCCTCTTTTCCTCGGTTACCACCAGCAAGGTCTCCCAGGCCTTTGTACTTTGAAGCAGGACTCTGGAGGAGAACAACCAGCTGTGGATGGGGAACAAGCCAGGGTTTACATGAGCCAGCTACACCTTTACCAGTGTGTAGGACCAGAGGGTTTGCATCCAAGGATGCTGAGAGAGTGTTTTTTTCACCAGGAGGTGCTGGTCTGTGATGATCCCAGTAAGAAAGGCACTCAGACTCCATAAGGGACCTTTCAGACTCTTCTGACACCTACCCAGAGAAGTCTCCAGGTTCATGAGCAGGTTCCCATAAGGAACCATAAGTGTCCTGGAGTTCACTGGTCAGGCAAAGCAACAGGGTGCCAACAGTCTGGAGGATCTTGGGATGACTTCTTAACAGAGCTGCCAGGTGGGCCAGGAAGGGTGATGCTCACCTAGACCCAGTACCGGCCAGCAAGGAAGAGCTGGTCAGGCTGTTATCATCAGTGTCAGCCTTGGCTGTCGTGACCAGGAAACTGTGGGGTCTCAGGTGCCAAAGAGGAGTGAGGAAGGCCAGCAGCGGAGCACAGATGGGTGGACTCCAGAGGAGAAGACGTTGATGATCGCCAGGTGGGCCAGGAAGGGTGATGCTCACCTAGACCCAGTACCGGCCAGCAAGGAAGAGCTGGTCAGGCTGTTATCATCAGTGTCAGCCTTGGCTGTCGTGACCAGGAAACTGTGGGGTCTCAGGTGCCAAAGAGGAGTGAGGAAGGCCAGCAGCGGAGCACAGATGGGTGGACTCCAGAGGAGAAGACGTTGATGATCTTGGGAGACTGGTACAAGCAGTGCCCTGGGAAGCAGCTCTGAAGGGTGAAGGAGCTCAGGAAATACGATAGGCCTGACAGGACAGCCTCCTCCGAGGACAGGAAGGGTCTCTGAATAGCCATGAAGAGAAGCGTTCCTCTGAGGAGGCTGCTGGTGTGAGGTGAGTGAGCTGCAGGGCCAAAAGGCAGCAGGCAGGAGGTGGGAGCAGGGGAAGCTGCCAAGGAGGAATTGCGAACCCTTGGCCCAGCCTGGGGGGAGGGTGTCAAAGCCAAAGCTGCCACGGGCTGGAGAGTGTCAGGGCTGGGGAGCAAAAGCAAAATGAGCAGATCCAGGCTGAGAGGGTCATGGGGAATGAGTCACCCTCTGCGTGGAGGCCTGTGACAAGTGGGCACTGCAGAGGTTGGCATCTTGAATGCATGCCTCAGCCTGGGAGAGGGGGGTTCCTCCTGCTGGGGGGGGAGTTG